TGCTCTCCTGCTGCTCGTTTTGCGGCGAGTCTGGCTGCCAAGAACCGACAATTTGCCGTTGAGTGCCTGTAGCATTGGTGGTGTTCGCAGAATGCTTTTTCATCATAAGTTCGGGGGTTCCGAGTCCAAGTATTCCATGGTCCTTTGCCTCGTCCTGCTCCCACTTGATAATTGTGGGCTCCTTGTAGCCTCGGCCCTTCGTGGTGCACATAGTCATTACTCCTCACATTTCTTTGACGTGTCGTCAAAGAATTTCGGATCGCCGCTTTTGTCGATTCGTACTGCTCCTCTAGGTTCTTCACCTCTTCTTCATTCACGACAAAGTCGGCAGAGCGAAATAGGGCATCTTGGATTGTGAGCAGCGTGTTCAACGCCATTTCTCTTCGGAACTCAGACTTATACCATAGTGATCTTTTCAGGGCTTCGAGGGCTGCCTTATCGCTCACTCCTTCCACCTTTGACACCACCGCTTTGAATCGAGCCATGTAAGCTCTCAGTGGCTCGTTTGGTCCTTGAGACAAAGTCTATAGATCGGCATCATATGTTCCTCGATCCATGAACATGGAGTACTGTTTCAGAAAGACGGCGGACAACTGCTGAAAGTTGTTAATGGAGTTGCGCTCGAACCTCGAGAACCACTCCACTGCCGCGCCCTTCAGGTGTTCGACAAAGAGGAGACAGAAACCAGCATCTCTTTCGTCTTCGCTGAGATTGGGGGCGTTTCTCGAGAAGGCTCGTCCCATTCCGATACGAAACCAGCATCTCTTTCGTCTTCGGGTCGGTTGTCCCTTCGTAGAAGGGGATTCTTATCTTTCCTGGTTCGGGGATCCGAGCTTCAGTAATTCGCGCAGTGAATGGCGTGCGCTGTGTTTCTTCCAACATTCGATCTATCTCCGATGCCGTACTGATTGCATGATGGACTTGTGATCGGACCTCCTTAATCTGGTTGTTCTTTCGCGGCTCGTCAACTTCGTCCTCGATACTGCCACTATTTAGAGCGGCTCGGCGTGCGTTACCGCGTTGATTCCCTTTTCGCGCCGAGCCATCTTGTTTCATTTGCTCGACCCAGAGCAAGTTTTCCTCCTTTTCTATCAGGTTTCGATTGCGGAGCGCGGCGTCATCTTCTTCGTTCGCCCTTGCTCCTTCCAACGCTTCTTCGAGTTGTGCTCGGGTAATACGTCCTGAAGCACGGCTCGGTTGAAGGACGAGCTCCTCTTCCTGGTCGTCTTTGTCATCGACAGTGATCGTCTCCTTACCGACATCTTTTGCGGCCTCACCATCGTTCTGCTTGGCATGCTTGTCGCCATTCGCTCTTCCTCTCCGAGCTAGCAGAGGTTCTACAAACCGCCTAGGTGAGATTCTCTCCCGAGATTCTCGGAATTTTTCCTTTTCTCTTGTGCGGCTGGCGACTTCGATCCTTCTTAGGGTAAAGTCCTCTTGGGCTCGTTTACTGGATCCTCGCTGTTACCCGGCTTGGCCCATCAATGCTTCCTACCCTTTGGCTTGGCCCAATACATTTTGTTTACGAGATTGCTCTTCGACTGAAGTATGCGGGAAGATCTTCCGAACTTGACCCGGCTCAGTTTGGTTATGTGCTCTCCCTGGTTTGGCTCGGGCGGATCGAGAGCCTTTGATCTGGCTCGGTTTAACCGAATCAGCTTTTGGTTTGGCTCGGTCCGAGATCAAATCTGGATTGGTTTGGTTTAATTGCTTCTTTGGTTCGATTCCTCCCACCAAAATCGTGGACTTGAACTTTTCGAAACCTGATTCTGACACTTAGTATTTTTCGAGCAGTTAAACTCGTGGGGGTGAAAACCGACCGCAACAGGCCTGAGAGTCAGCTTTTTAGTAAGACTGAGTTCGTCCCAATCGGTGGTCTGTGTCGAGAGCTATGGCCGCTTTTTTGTCGGGTACTCAGATCTGCAATTTGGCTATGGTGAAGATTAGATCTAGTGTCTTTTTCTTATTCATATGTCTTCTTCTGGTGTGTGGAGTCTAGATCTGATGAGCCTAGGATGTTTTTTTGTGCATCTAGTTAGATCTATGTATAAATATAAAAAAATGAATTAGGATCTCAATAGAGGAAGAACCAGTATGGCTGTTTGATAACCCTGTTGTGTGGATAGTTATTGGTAGCATAGCAGATCATGTGTCCATCTTGGTGGTGGTATGGACTTGTTTGCTGAGCTATTGCTGTCTGTGTGACTATAGAAGTAGCCCAACGGTGAAGGAAGGTACGCCGATCCTTTTATAGTCTGTGTGACTGCCGGTTATTATGTCTATGTGGCAAGGAATATGGGAGCCCAAGTCAGTTGTTACTGGGAGTACGGCCTTGTGTGATGGGCGGGTTGGAGACATCACAATTGCGTGTTAGTTGTTTGTGCATTGCTAGGGTGCTTGTTTGTTGCTTGTTGGTTTTATTCTTGACATGGTTGTGGGACATAAATAAGTGGAAAGAAAGCCTGGTTTGTTCACACTGAGTAATCCCCAATTACTCACCCCTCATTTTCCCTTTGTTCTTTCAGGTATAGATAGATCACCTTATGTCTATATTGTTGTTGTTACCTAGGGCTTTTTTGATCCTGGCGGACCTGAGGCTCACTGAGATACCATGGTCCTAACATGTCCGATTCTCCGGTTTTCTAGGAAGCCTGGGATAGGGATGTTACAAATGGTATCAGAACCCAGGAAGATCTCCTAGCTCTAACCTAGGAGGTCACGCCCGTGTGTTTTGTCGTGTTTGAAAAAAAAAAGTTTTCTTAAAAACTCTTTTTCTAAAAATGTTTTTAAACTTAGAACAACAACAACTTATAGACGCTGATCTGTTAGATGTTCTCTTTCTATCCTTTTCATTTCTTTCTTCTTTTATTTTATTTCCTCAAGCTTAAAGGACCAGACGCGCATGAGATGAGGCAGACCAGGAGGGTCTATTCAGCAACATCTTGTCAGATTACTTCATTTAAGAAGATCCGCCCGAAGTCTCTGCTATTGATTGAAAAAAAAAATGTTTTCATAGGAGTAGAACTCTATTTTTATTTAATTAAGTTATTTATTGCTTCTATGTTTCTTATGAATTAGTTAGATTCTATGATGTTGTTCTTTTCATTTTACCTTTTTAAAAAGAAAATGTTCTTCTCCTCTTTGTCACATTTATAAGTTGGTTTGTCTTTTAATCAAATAATTTTTATTGCATCAATACTTAAACCTTTCCTCTTCCCTGTCATTTCTATCATTCTATGATCTTAAACCTGAGGTTCCTCCTCTTTGGCGACATGGACCTGTTAATCATTTCTGAAATCTTTGCTCTCCTTCTGCGACCAAGCTTCTCCTTTTTGTCTCCTTTGCTTTTATTTTTCTTGATCCTGATTTTTGAAATTCCTTTCAGGAACTTCTCCCTTAGAATTTGGGGGTGAATCCTGTTGAAGGGGGGGGGGAAGATTGTAACAACCCGTCCTCTCGGAGTCGGGTGTTAGTAAATTTAATTTCCGGTTCTTTTAAATTAGATCATCTCTTTTATTTAAGCCCATTCCTAATCTTTTTTAATATCCTGCGAGTCCATTAAGCCTAGCTCAATTAAAATAACCTAAGTATAAATACTTTAATCTTTCATTAATCCTTCTAAAACCTAAATCAGAGAAACCCTAGCCTCTCCTCCTTCTCTCTCTTTTTCGTCTCCATCTCCTTCTAATCCGCCGGGGACTTCCAAGGAAATTTCCTAGCGAACCGTGAAGAGCCACGCGACGCATAGAGTATCAAATTGAAGCCCCATGAGTCAGCTTTCCAGTAAGACCAAGTTTGTCCCCATCGGTGTTCTGTGTCGCTAGCTATCGCCGCTTTTGTGTCGTGTACTAAGATCTGCAATTTGGCTAAGGTGAAGATTAGATCTAGGTTCTTCTTCTTATTCATTTGTCTTCTTCTGGTGTGTGGAGTCTATATCTGATGAGCCTAGGATGTTTTCCTGTGCATCTAGTTAGATCCATGTATAAATATAGTGAAATGAATTATGATCTCATTAGAGGAAGAACCAGCATGCCTGTTTAATAAACTTGTTGTGTGGATAGTGATTGGTAGCATAGGAGATCAGGTGTCCATCTCGGTGGTGATGTGCTTCAGCTATGTGAAGGATGCTCCTCATGTAATCATGAACCGATTGGTTCCTTTTTGGGAGGTATGGACTTGTTTGCTGAGCTATTGCTGTCTGTGTGACTATAGCAGTAGCCCAACGGTGAAGGAAGGTACACCGATCCTTCCATAGTCTGTGTTACCTGAGGCTTGGGAGTCAGCTTTCCAGTAAGACCGAGTTCGTCCCAATCGGTGGTCTGTGTCGAGAGCTATGGCCGCTTTTGTGTCGGGTACTCAGATCTGCAATTTGGCTATGGTGAAGATTAGATCTAGTGTTTTTTTCTTATTTATTTGTCTTCTTCTGGTGTGTGGAGTTTATATCTGATGAGCCTAGGATGTTTCCTTGTACATCTAGTCAGAATTTTCCATTTCTGCAGTAATCATGTTTGAACATCTTAAGTTTTTTCTCTTTTAATTCATTATGGCTTTCTCTTTAGTTTTGAACATACAACTTTAATTAGCTGTCTTCATGTTTCGATTCATTTCAATTTAACATAAACTATTTTGTTCTAGCTAATTTGACATAAGTTAATCTTTTAAAAATATATCACAAAAAATCAAGTTAATAACTCAGAATTTATCAAACTAAGATAATAGTAAAATGCCACAACTTCATTTATAATTTTTTTGGTGGATTTGGATTTTTGGAACCGGAATTTTAGATCTTCTTGGTGATTTAATATTTTAGAGGAAGCAACCAAAAACTTATGTTACAAACAACGACAATAAAAAATGTTCGTAGATATTGGTGTGGTGTCTTTCAAAATGATTATATATATATATATATATATATATATATATATATATATACATATTTTCTAAGATTTATTACACAAAAATTTATTATAAATTTGAATGGAAATTGGGGAAATTGTATTCTACAACAAATCGGCCACACTCATGGAAAATGTAATATGATTATGCACATCCTTGTTGGCCGAAAAAACTGGGGATCTTGTATCGTCTGGATCAACCGATAAAATCATACTGCAATAGTCAGCAGCATCACGTGCCATACTGAGCTCCTCATCGGTCTCATCCAGGTCACCTTTCTCCATAGACAACTCTGCCTTCTTTAGCCCTTCAACTACAGAATCTTTATAGTTCTCAGCACAACTCTTGAAACATGGCTTTTTTGGAGAACCAATGAGAATCATCGTGTGGTCAACCTTCTCCACGGCTAACGATAGAGCGGCCTTAGCCAACTCCAATGCAGTCAATGCAGAGGAAGTACGGTCATTTGAGGTTAGGGCTTGGATACATCCTTGTTCTTGGGACGAGATAGAGGCAGTGCCTTTACAAGCTTTTGATATCAGCAATGACGGAAATGGGCATGTCCTTTGTTCCGTTAATAAATGGCTGGCAGTGATTGATTTACCGGTTATTGTTGGCCATCGAGAGATGAGAAGAAACGTAACAATATAGATTGATATGTATGCATGAGAGGCGTAAAAACAAGCCATCGTATGTTCAACAAAGCTTTTTCTATATTGTTACCAGTTTGGTAAGAATAATAGATTAAAGTATGTACATATATTGACTGGTGATGTAGTCAAAGGTTCCTATTTTCCCGTCAAAACTTTATTATGAATCTCTCACTGTTCATTTCCACAAATTTTAGGCATGAAATGCTATTTATAGGGAATTGTTTTTGAAAATAGTTGCTATTTATGGGTTTTGTGTGAGTCATTTAGGATCAAAACTCGTGACACTAATCATCTATTATATAAAAGTTGAGTTGTGTCTCACAATCTTGACACATCAGCATCTATAATTTTGACACATCAGCCAAAAAAAAAATTCAAATTCTTATTTGATCTATTATATAAAAGTTGAGTTGTGTCTCACAATCTTGACACATCAGCATCTATAATTTTGACACATCAGCCAAAAAAAAATTCAAATTCTTATTTGATGGTCAAACTTCTATTCAGATTAATTTTTAATTTTTGAAGTTGGATTTATTTATTGTGTTTTCACATATCTTTTGGTAAAAGCAAAAAAAAAATGTCCATAACTCAAAACAGGCAAAAACTTTACATCTGTCAAAATGAAGATGAAATTCGCTTAGAATTGGTTTTATAATGCCGATTGAATTAGAATTTGTCCCCTTAATGTTTTCTATTTTTTTGTCACTTTTTAACATACTTGTCCTTTTAAATCAGTTATGGCAGTTATAATTAAATATAAATTTATAATTATATTTTAAATTTTTGAAAATATCTAAAAAAGAATTAAAAATATGTTCGTATATCATTTATGGAAAAAAAATATTTTTATTATATAATTAAAATTCGTTCTATGCTTGGTAGAATGCATGTTCTATGTTCTACGTCCACGTAGAATCCTATTTTTATAGTTCTTCACATATTCTACCAGCCTGTAGAAGTTGTTTTCTATAGGTATTTATATATATATTTTACCGATTGATAGATTATAACTTTACTAGATAGACTATATTCTACATGTTAGTAGAATACATCTTCTATCTGTTAGACCAGGTTCTACGTTATTGTAGAACTGTTGTTCTACCTGTTAGACTTCATTCTACATTAACGTAGAATGCATCTTCTACCTGTTAGACTTTATTCTACATTAACGTAGAATGCATCTTCTACCTGTTAGACTGCATTTTACATTAACGTAGAATACATCTTCTACCAAAATCTGAGAAAAACTAGAAAAATTAGTTAACTTCCAGATCTTAAAAATTTTGAAAATTTTTTTTTATCTTTTTTGACGTTTTTTTTTTCCTTTTTTGGCTATTATCGTTCTCTTCTTCTTCTTTCATATTGATCAAGCAGATTTTCTCTAAAATTACATATCTTCTGCTTCAAACATGCTATATATCTATGTGACTTGTGGTAGAATATGGGGGTTTCTCTTCTTTTTTTACGCTTGGTAGAAAGTCTTTTCTACTTGTTTTTTCTTTTTTATTAATAAAATATTTTTAAAAATAAATTAATTTATTAATTCTTAATTAAAGGGTATAATTGGATTAAATTTAAATTAAACATTAAAGGGACAAATTTTATTTAGAAAATATTAAGGGGACAAATTCTAATTCAATTAGCATTATAAAACCAATTCTCCCTTGAATTATCCTCCACTATGTTCGGTACGTACGTAAATTAATTTTTACTTTCTCGGTTCATTCTCTATCATAATTATATTAATTTGTTAGTTTTGATTCAGTTATTTAGACAATTCTTTTGTATGAAGCATCACTTGTTAGAGGTTTGAGAGCTATGAGGAGGAAGCATAGAGTTTTAGGAAAGCAAGAGCTGAGAATGAGAAGAGAGTTAGCGATCAGATTTAGAAAGAACATTTGGAGTTTTGGAAGTGAGGGAAATGGAGAAAAGGAGGAGATGAGAGAGAAAGACAATCAGCAAGAGAAAGCGACAAACGAATTGCAAATGAATGTTTTTTTGAAATAATTTGTAAATAAAAATTGCTAAATTGAAACTAGAATTGGTGAAGGATATGAGAGAATTAGAGAGTTGTAAGTCTGAGAAGAAATGCACAGAGAAAGCTCAAGAAAGAATCACAAAAAAGGAAAATGGAAGAGTTAAAAATGGTCAAATTGTTGAAGAAACTAAGAACATACTAGCTGTGTTGAACGAAAGGATCATGGAGCCTACTAATGGAGTGCACGGTCAAGAAAAACAAAATAGTTAATACATTAACTTATAAAATATTAATTGAAAAAAGACCCGTGTATATACACGGGTATTCATCTAGTATATATAAAAGTAGATGAATTCTCTTTATAGCTTGCCACATCAGCAATTGAGAAGCTGACACATCTCTTTTAACATAATTATTAAATCATATATTTTAATGAAAATTAAAAAATAATTAATACCACTAATTTTAACTTAACTTTTTTAGTATATGTATTTATGTTCATAACTATTAAATTATAATAAAATTAAAACTTTCAACATTCCTAATAAAAATAAATAAATAATATTTATAACCTTTTGGTATTTGTCTAAAACCTTTTAATATTTTTTGTACTAACTTCATACTTTTTCCTTCCGTTTTATTCTCATCATGAACACTTTTTTCGAAGCTTGTTCTATGAAAGAATGTAAAGATGTAGCGTTCTCTTCATTCAAAGATTTTGCGGTTTTTATGAGTCAACTATGATATTATTATAGCTGTATTTCATTGTGAAACATGAAGTATGAGGTGGTTCTTGCAGAATCATGGCAATTGTGCAGGTCATAAATATGAAAACATTAAAATCAGAGGTAATTATATATTTCCAAGAAATCCAATAAAAAAATATGGCTTTTATCTACGTCTTTTTTATTCATATCATGTTTATGATTTCTAGAATAGTAGAATAATATTCTTACTTACTCTACATACTTCCAATAATAAAACAAAAATTGTTTGTTTGATAAAGATTTTTTTTTCAAAAAACTATTACCAAACAATCAAACATATTTCCATATTCTTATAATTAACTATGTATACCCATATATATATATATATATATATATATATCAACACAAACATATTATTCAAAATGTTATGTGAAACAAAACCCACGCGTATACACAAGTACAAGCCTAGTAATAAGAAAGAGACTAGATTTTTGACGCACACACAGAGTTAATATTTTTTGGATATTTTCAAATTAGTAGTATGTAAAATGTATGTAATATAATGAATAACTAGTGAACTGTCTGTGCTACGCGCAAATTTTTACTTTATTTTTGTATTATATTTTTTTTTATTAATATTGAGTGTTTAAATTTTTGTTTATTTTGTTAGATTGCTTAATTTAAGGCTGCTGAGAATTTAGTTTTATTAAAACAATTTTTGTCTACACAATGGACAATTTGGGATTGTTAATAGCCATTGTACAATACATTGATGATGATAAATATGGCTACATGGTAGTGAGTTTACATCTTGTCTTTCAATAAACTTTTGCAAGCAGATCGGACAGTCTTCATTTTTTTCTTCTTCTGTTGGTATCCTTGTTGACATCTCAAGTTCGGCGATGTGTAAGTCTACGTCAATTCTATTTGTGGCAAGTGAGTTAAAATATGTAACTGTAAAGTAGATATCCATGTTTATACCTCTTGTATTTTCCGTTGTTGTCATGACCGAGAAACAAACTCGCTAAATGTCTGTGTGATCGCATCGACTTCTGCTATGTGATGGTATGTTAGTAGGAATTCAATGTTTCTCACTATTGTTGGTGTGAGCTGGCCATGGTCGTTGGTTATGCATGGCATTAGCATATGGATGTATCTTTGGTTTGTGTGTGGTCTTTTGATTGTAAGGTTTATGTTTGTGGTTGTAGTTGTAAAAGATTGGTGAGTTTGATAAGAGAATGAGTGGGTTATTTCTGTGTTGCTTCCCATTTTTGTTGAGTGTAATAGATTGAAGCTGTTTTGTGTTTTGTTTGAGTTTATAAATTGTCGTAGGAGGCTGTAGATGTAGTGGGTTTTAATTATTGTAGTGAATGCATTCATGTATCAGTTTTAGAATCATTAACTGTACTTAGAGAATGGTAAGCGTCTTTTTTGTTTGTGTTGTTCTAATTTATTTTTTTTATTTGCAGCATGTAGTAAGCTTTATTTGTCGTTTAAAATTTTTACCATGGATTAGTTATAGCCATTAAGTATTATTTATTTGTTTGTGTGATGTTGGAAATTAAGTTTGATCAGTTTTGCTTAAATATTATTTGTTCGTGTGATCGTGTCTATAAGCTTTTAATTTTGTTTTTATTATTATTGTTTTGTGTTCATTGGTATCAGTTGTTGTGTATGTAGGGGCGGTAAATTTGTTTTTCCTGTGTGTGTTTCTATTTTAATTTTTTTGTCTGAAGACATTTATGGGATTACAAAGCTAAACCGGTGGAATTATTTGAAGACAGACTTCATCGCATGTGTCTACACCTATTCATATGCTTTGATGTCTTAAATTCACATTTATAACAGCAGATCAGATTTTGTGGTTATTGTATTTAATTTTCATCCTTTACTATCAATTATATTTTTTTAAATTTTATTTAATTGGTCAATGATTTAGAATTAACTAAGTTTGATTGACATCTGGCATTTTTTGTGTGTTATTGAAACTATGGTTGTTACTTGATTCACAAGAAAATTGATATATTTTATTTGTATGGTGTTTCTTTTTTCGAACATGACTTAAACAACAAATGTGGGGAGGGTTTTTTTTAAAAAAAATATAGTAAATCATATTGTGTTGCCTGAAAATGCATAAATAAGGTCGCTTTTAGTCTTCGGAAAAGAATTAACACTCTTTATTTTGAAACTATAATGACTCTTAGAAGTTGGAACTGTCGTACTCAACCCTGCTCTTCAAGTTGTGCGATTTTGAGATCTTCTTTGTTCTTCGGATTGTTGTACCTTACAAAATATTGTTTTCCGTATGGTGAGAAGATTATTTTATGTTGAAATTTTTTTCAATGATT